TTGGGGGAGTACAAGTGCATTAGGCTCCATTCACACCTGTATCTTGACGTGCGATTAGGGATTCCTGCATCAGGAACATGCGTTTTCCTGCAGCAGGAATGCCTAATCTTTAAAAGCGGCAGCTGTCACCCATTCAAGTTAATGCTCAGATGACAGCAGCTGCATGTAAACGCCTGGACACCGCATGTAATGGTATGTGATATGATTATCACATAGGAATCAATCACTCACACTGGACGCATTGATTGTGCATCCAGGGAAAGTGTTTTCTAACTGCATGTAATCATATCACATACCATTACATGCTGTATGCAGACGTTTACATGGAGCTGCTGTCACCTGATCATTAACTTGAATGGGTGACAGCTGCCGCTTGTAAATGCCAGATTGGGAATTCCTGCTGCAGGAAAACGCATGTTCCTGAAGCAGGAATCCCTAATCGCACCTAAATTTAAAGATATGAACGGGGCCTTATTGTGTGTGTATTAGGGTCCATAGTACCAAACCGGATATAGTTTAAAAATAATGTAAAGTATGAAATTTGGCAAGCGGCCCCCATGGGAGAAAAAAATTGTCAAATGGCCCCCGAATGAATTGAGTTTGAGACCCCTGATCTAGGACAACATAGCTGATTTGGAAAAATTATCTTTCCAGTTCTGCTATGTTTTTGTTGAACTTCTTGCACAGCCTCACAGAGAAACACAAGCACACAGCCAGATATGCATGCTGCACATGGCTTGGCTAAAAACTGGAAGGGAACCGCAGCTTTATTATCTACCTTATTCAATACAACAGAAAATCTACCATAGATATAACAGAACTTATAAACACTGCCATCTAGTGACCGAAATTGTATACTGCAGTGGTTATTGCTATAGATACAACAATGTGTATTCTAACATGTTCTCCTAGATTGTTCACTTCTCCGGCCTTCTCCAAACTCTTCACCCTTTTGTGAATAACCCTGTTAGTTTTTAACAAAGGCTGAGGAGCATTTTTGTTAAATAAAAATGGAGCCCAGGGTTGGACTTTAACACACCCACTGTAACAATGTGAATGGCTGAAGATAAGTGCGTAGGAATTATTGTGAAATTCTGGATTCACACCTTCAGATGAATGTTTTTATGTGTTGTTGCATGGGTTGTCAAAGAACATACATTTCATATGATGCCATTGTCTTCAATAGGAGCGCTCATCCATTAAAAACAATGGCTAACCTGCATATATACTCTGAGAAAAGAAATTTTACCGATTCCTCCATCTACTCTAAGCCTTCTAATCCTCCTGTTTGGCCTATTTATTTTGACAGCTGGTGCCTGCTGCTGTCAGAATTGTTCAGCCGACAATTTTTTCGGCCTGACTTTTGTTAAGCCGACAAGGCCACCCGTTGTCAGAATTTTGTCTTATTCTTGTAAATTGGCTGCAATTCTCACAGTGTGTGCCCAGCCTAAGGCTTTGTAGCCAAACGGTCTTTTAGATCCAGATAAACATTCATATTCACATTCATGGGTTGACTCACCTTTCCTGTAGGTGGCAGAGAATCCCGTACTTCCTACGTGTTTGTCTGAATGAAAAATAACAGACAGTACGTGCCATGATGATGTGAGATTTGGGGGCAACTGGGAACCACAGAATGTTCCCAACAGATTCCCTTCATCCTTGGAGGCCCCGTTGTAAATCTTGATATAGTCATAGTCACAGGTGTCATGGTACTCCAAGTTGAATTCATCAAAGGTAAGCTGGACGGTGAACCCTTCAGACACAACGATGAGCCAGCTGCACTCTGTATAAGGTGGATACACTCTCGGGAAATTGGGGCTGAATATATGGCCTACAGGAGCCGAAAGCACCCCCCCGCACTTCACACCTGTGGAAGGAAAAGGCATTTTAATTCATCACTTTGTTCCTTTGTTTATTTGTTCTTTTAACCTTCATATACACACAGTGGCGTAACCAGAGTTCTGGGCGCCTCCGGGGCAGAAATGTTATAAACACCCACTGGAACTGTACCCTGCACCTCCCCCCCACACACACATGTTTTTATTTAAAACGGTTGTTACGCCACTGTACACACAGAACAAACAAAGAAAACCTCTGGCCTAAACAAAACCCCTAGAATGTTTCTAGCAGCAGAACATTTTGGATCTCTAAGTATAGTATAACATTTTAACAGCTAAAGCTGACTGGTATGCTACTTAAAGCTTAGGCCAACCCCCTCTTAAAATCTGTACTCTATTTTTGGCCCATCACTGGGACGAGAGATCTCAATGATCAAGCATGAGACACGTGGGCAAGGTACTGTCACCTTAACATTGTGAAGGTGCTTGCAGGACAGGGAACATAGAGTTACCTCATTTGTGTGCTGCTGCCCTGTCCTTCTAAATGTAAAGCTGTGCAATCAGCAGGGAGTGTGAGCTTTGCTGGATGCAGAGCTGGTCAGTGATGCACCTACGGGTGCCACCTGTCCAGGATTCACCCAGACAGTCCAGGTTTTGAATGCTGTGTCCAGGTTTCATGGCAGCTGAAACCCGGACACAAGATGTCAAGTAGACAGGGGCAACCAAAATTTAGATAGGGGCTACTGGCCTCCCACTGAAAATAGTCTCAACTGTGATATTTACATATGAATGGGTGGTGCTATTTACATATGAACACGCCACGGCTCATTCTCCCAAAAAAAAAATGTTTGCACGTCGCTAGAGTGTTCGGGTTTCCCTTGAAGAACAGGTGGCAACCCTGGATGCACCATATTGTGATAATGGCTCAGTGAGGGGCATTGGATTGCTGCTCAGAGAAAAGTGCTTACACACAGAGAACAGCAGTACTCTGCTGCCGGGAGAAGAAACGTTTGAACGTGTGTAAGGACTGTATTTTCAACAGCATTTTAGTAAAAAATGTAAATGTCATTGTTTGCATGCAGCTTCAATTCAAATAGCTAAGAGTTCCTGAAACTTCAGTTGGGCTTTAAAGCGTATCCATACCCCAAAACACAAAAATTTTATAGATTGCACTAGTCCAGACGTGCCCCTGCTGCCCCCCACGGTTGTTACGCCACTGTACACACAGAACAAACAAAGAAAACCTCTGGCCTAAACAAAACCCCTAGAATGTTTCTAGCAGCAGAACATTTTGGATCTCTAAGTATAGTATAACATTTTAACAGCTAAAGCTGACTGGTATGCTACTTAAAGCTTAGGCCAACCCCCTCTTAAAATCTGTACTCTATTTTTGGCCCATCACTGGGACGAGAGATCTCAATGATCAAGCATGAGACACGTGGGCAAGGTACTGTCACCTTAACATTGTGAAGGTGCTTGCAGGACAGGGAACATAGAGTTACCTCATTTGTGTGCTGCTGCCCTGTCCTTCTAAATGTAAAGCTGTGCAATCAGCAGGGAGTGTGAGCTTTGCTGGATGCAGAGCTGGTCAGTGATGCACCTACGGGTGCCACCTGTCCAGGATTCACCCAGACAGTCCAGGTTTTGAATGCTGTGTCCAGGTTTCATGGCAGCTGAAACCCGGACACAAGATGTCAAGTAGACAGGGGCAACCAAAATTTAGATAGGGGCTACTGGCCTCCCACTGAAAATAGTCTCAACTGTGATATTTACATATGAATGGGTGGTGCTATTTACATATGAACACGCCACGGCTCATTCTCCCAAAAAAAAAATGTTTGCACGTCGCTAGAGTGTTCGGGTTTCCCTTGAAGAACAGGTGGCAACCCTGGATGCACCATATTGTGATAATGGCTCAGTGAGGGGCATTGGATTGCTGCTCAGAGAAAAGTGCTTACACACAGAGAACAGCAGTACTCTGCTGCCGGGAGAAGAAACGTTTGAACGTGTGTAAGGACTGTATTTTCAACAGCATTTTAGTAAAAAATGTAAATGTCATTGTTTGCATGCAGCTTCAATTCAAATAGCTAAGAGTTCCTGAAACTTCAGTTGGGCTTTAAAGCGTATCCATACCCCAAAACACAAAAATTTTATAGATTGCACTAGTCCAGACGGCCTTGGGACGCCCCTGGCTCAGAGTAAAGGAAGTGACAAGGACACTGAAAAAAGAAAACGAATGCATCCACCACATCTAAGGACTGTTAATCTGCGATATATAGTACATTATTGTTCTTGGGTTTAGATATCCTTTAAATAGAATTCCTCAGTGACAACTTCTATCATTCTCTCCTGGGATATTCCCCTTATCTCTTTTTTTGGTGTTTTCACCAGAATATATCAATAAGCACAGTTTTTAAATCCAGATTAGCTCACTATTGTTTTTTTGCAACAAATCATTTTGGCAATAGCCATAGTAGCCAGCACAACAGTCCAGCTTTAGTTGCATGCCCTTTTTTATGTTCATAATCTGCTTGGAAAAGTCTTGCAAAAATAATTGAATGCAATAATACAAACATGCAGACAACATCGAATTTAACCAATTGCTCAATGCCAACTCCTTGATGACTGGCTGCTCTGATGTTGGTGCATTGCTGGGCCTAGTATGGTAACAAATATACAGGAAAAGCCAATGTAATGACCATTCCAGGTCTCCCTTACCACTGGCTCATTTACAATATTCAAGGAGTAAAGTTTAGTTGTTCTATTGGAAAGGTAAAAAGACACTAACGGGGATTCCCTCCATCTGATGCCGACCTAGAGAAGCACATGCAATCTCCGCTTACCTTTCCGGGCCGGAATCACGGGTACTCTCCATAGCACGCTTATCACGAAGATAAACTTGCAATGAATATTCTGCATATTGGAAAGCTAGTGCTGTAATATATCCAGTGCTCGCAGAACACTACAGATAAGACTCAGAGCTGCTATTGAATAAATAATTCATCTGTTGTCTGAATAGGAACTTGATCTCACTTTGCTCTCCACCCTCGATGTTCTGATGTGTATCAGGTATCTCTGGATTTACACATTCACCCTACCTATATTAAATCACAGAGAGATGGGGGACATTGAATGCCAATGTCCCAGCCAGGCCAAATAGTGTATTAACAGTGCAGAACTTTCTGTGTACATCCCAACAATGAGACATCCAGAACAGGGATGATTAAATGGTTTGGGGTCAATTTATTTTTCTTTAAGATTCTAAGTATGTTTTATATTAAATATCAAGTGAAATGGTTACCGCTGACGTCTAGGCAAATGAATGATGCTGTGTAATGCAAACTGTGAAAGTACCTGAATCGGACTTGGTGTCAGCCTTTTACAATTCCTGTAAAGCAGGGCTGGAGTGTAAGAGGAAGAAGCAGCACAAGGAGCCAATCAGTTCATGTGCTGACAAGGAACATGCTTATAGGAGGCAAAAGAACAGTAACAGAGAGATGAGCTTATCATTGTGCTGCTTCTCCGTTCACTGTCCAGTTACATAGTGGGGCAGGTCCGGGATGACCTGAGCTTGGAGAAAGTAGGTTGAATGATGCTGGCCCTCAGACTGAGGACATCTAGTGGCAGAATAAAGGAACTGTTGGGAAAATCTCTGGACTGATGATGAATATTGCAGCAAAAGCTGGTTTTGTTATTTATCTTTTAATGGGCGGTTCATTCTTATCTTAATTTTGGCTGGAGTTCTGCTTTTAAACCCCTGTAACCTTTTTTTTTGCTGTCTGTGTCACTAAAGACAAAACAAGGAGTGAGAGAAAATCTGTCCCCTCTTAGGGCCCATTTGTACTGCTGTGGTCTGGTGCGTTGCGTTAGGGCAGGCCAATAATTGAATTGGGTTGGGCACGCACTTACTTAAAAACCGACATGCAACTTTCTTTGTAACGCAATGCACCACAACGTTTAGGTCATGCTTTGTGGTGCACTGCAATGTATGAACGTTGGGGTGCAATTCAGATTGAATGGTAACACATGGCACCAATGCACGTAACACACATTACTGTATATTGTGGTAAGCGCACTGCAGTGGTGTAAATGAACCCTGTCACTGGATCAGGTGTCCCCATTGAGAGATGTCCCCTCTATTTCTGTTTCTGGTGACAACTTTAAGATTGTGGATTTCCCATAATGTTCTGTCCAGGGTACCAGTGTACCAGTGACGTCACAAGGGGTGCAGCCCGTACTGGGTGACACCAACAGAGAGGGTGATGCCAAAATTACTGTCACCCCAATTTTAAAAGTTGAGCACTCGATCAAGAACCAAGAGCCCAACAGCAGCACGAGCAATGGGGGTGGGAGATATCTGGCAGCATGCCTAAACCTGCCAGGCCAAAATCCTCTCCTCTCTTTGCCAGCGGCCATCACCACAATGGCCGCCGCAGTGAAGTACATCACTGCGCATGTGTGATAACGTCACACCACGCATGTCATAAGGCATGCCGGGCGGCCGCACCAGGTTACACCCACGCTGGTTCTGCTGCTGCAGGGTACAGCGATCACCAGGACTAATAGAGAGGGCAGCTCTCCCTAGTTGCAATACAGAAAACAGTAAAAACCCGGCAGAGGTTTTAGCCCTTCCCTACTCTAGCTAAACCCAAGAATTAAAAAAAGTTTTGGCTACACTTTACCTCCTGCAATCCTACACTTATCAGGCAGGAAAGTCCTACCCTCTTCTCTTGCACTGGGATCACCCCACCAGGATTGCAGTGTAAAGAAATCATCACCTCGGCCATACTCAAACCTGCATCAAAATAATTTCCGCATTAACAATTTACATAGCATAACCAAGGCCGAGATGATTCACATTTCTATAAATAACCTCAGTGTAGAGAAATGCAGCTGATTAGTTTCCATTATCAGCCATTTCAGGATGAGGAGTTGCTGATGGGATGTTACAAACATCTAGACCAAAAAAGAAAAAGAAGAAGAAGCTGCTTCATTTTACAACGTCAGTTATTTTCCTTTTATTTATAAAAATGTTAAGGTGAACAGGCACAGGATACAGATGATAATTTAGGATCCATTCGCATCTTTGTGATAAGGGAGCGCTTGCGATGCAGCACCCGATCCAGCATCTCATGTTGCAATTTTAAAGGAGAACTATGGGGTTAGGGCTTTTACCCCATAGTTCTCCTTAGGGTAACGGGAGGACACAAACTAGCGTCCTCCCGTCACCCTAGGCTCAGTATACCGCGAACTGCGGTGCCATTACCTCTTGCCCACCCCAATGTAATTAGCGTTGTATCGCATCACATCACACAGTAACCTTTTACCATGCGATGTGGTGTGATCCATTTCATGAGAAGGTCCTTTCGCTTCTTTGAATGTGATTTAGCCATGGTGGGCGGCCCAGTCAAATGAATTGGCTGCACTATCGCAGACCACCGTGACACACCCTCATATGTCGCATCTCATATGTGTGAACGGGGGCTCACTGGCTTTTCATACATACAAATGCCTGAGGTAGGAAAATGAAAAGTCTTTCTTATGTAGGCCCTTTTTTACTCACTCCATTGGATAATCTATTCCACTAAATATGGTGGAACTTCCACAAAGCAATAGGAAGTGCTGATATAACTGCAGAGAAACCCACTTCTCCACCTCCATTGCTTTGGTTAGAGTCTAAACAATCCATATAATTTAGGAGTTCACCAAAATACATCTCACATATTGCAAATCATGTCAATCAATGGCGACCCAAGGCCTTATTCACGTGGGCTATTATGATCAACATATGGATTCCTGTGGCTGGGATCACAGGTGGTTGTAGATAGCTGTGGCCACTACGCCTGTACAAATCCATGACAGGCTCCACAGGTATGGTTGGAGCGACCCTGGATGGAAACTGTCTGCGTCCATAGTTGCTCATCTGTCCCTAGCCGCTGGAGGTGCGGATACATGTAAACAGCCGTGAACAGGGCCCTAACCCCTCTCCCAGGAGTGTTGAACGAGAGCCAATAAACTCCTTGTTTCCATTTAAAAGTGACCGGTGCCCATCTGTTCTCATTGCTCCCCTTTTTTTTCCAGGAACAGCACTGATGTTAAATTCTAGCCCACCCTGCCTCTGGGGTTCCCCATTTACCTTTTGGGGCCAGGGGGTGCTGAATTACTATACTGTATATAAACATGCAAAAATATCAGTCCATAAGGTCACTGTACAAACTGTACGTATAGCTTAACAAACCACGCTGCGCAGTCAAGGGTGGATCTTCCAATCACAAACCTGTTCTTTCTACCATGACTTTTAAAAGTCAAGATTTGCACAGCAGCCTCCATCTCTGAATCCGTAAATTGTATTGATGTGGTTTTCACTGAAGGTAATTTGTGTTTATACATTTTTCATCATAAGCTCAGGCTGAATTGTTCGGGTTTGTAACAGGTTTACTTTAATGCGCCTTTAATGCACGGCTCTATGTGGGGTGTGTTACCATACCGTATATTGTGTATGGCACCCCAACACACTGCACAGTAGTTGTCAACGCACAAAGTGTGGAAATGCACCACTACACACATACCATGCACTGTGGTGAGCTGCGGTTCTGTGTTGGAAAAGAAGGTGCATGTATGTTGGCACATGGAGGTGATTGGGCTGCTGTAACGTGACATATGTTAACATGTGACAATGCTCTTCCATAACGCACCACAACACAAAAAATATGTCTGAATGGGCCCCTAGTGTGGCCATATATATATTTTTACCCAAACGGTTTTATACCCCACATATAGTATAAAAACATGTATTCTATATGCAGCAAAATGTTAGTTTTTACTAATCAGAATTGCATACTATATAAGAATCGGCAGACACGCAGTTGGAGAATTACTTCTGTACAACATTGTGAGTACCGCAGCACCCCTCCTATGGTACGTGTCAAAAGGGAAAAGTTATATAAGAACTAAAAGAAACATGTTTTGCAAACTCTGACACATTTTTAAACATTATTGTCACCAAATGTTTGGACTGCAACCTTAAAGGATCTAAATCACAGTTTGCTATGTAAATAGTTAATAGTAACATAGTAGGTAAGGTTGAATAAAGACCAAGGTCCATCCAGTTCAGCCTGTGTGTATGTGTGTCTGTATATATCTGTGTATTTAACACTTCCCATATCCTTGTATATTTAGTGACTGAAGGAACTCATCCAGAAGTTTCTTGAACGTATCTACGTTATCAGCAGATGCCACTGCCTGTGGAAGGACATTTCAAGTACAGTGGTACCTCGGTTCACGAACGCCTCTGTTCACGAACAATTCGGTTCGCGACCAGGAAGTTCGTCAAAATGTTGCCCATGTTCGCAAACTTTGCCTTGGGTGACCAACACAACCGCGGCCATCTTCCCCGCTCTGACACATGGTCGTGGCTTCCTGTACTCGAGATTGCGGTCGCAGAGAGGGCTGTGGACACTTACTGTGAAGCTTTTGTGTGTGCTTTGTAGTACAGTACTGTACAGCAGTGCTCCCCAACCTTTTTATCGCCGCGGACCGATCAACGTTTGATAATGTTACCGTGGCCCGCTGAGGGGGGGACGTTGATTGTTTATATTTTAGATTGTAAAAACTTGTGGTTAAATTATTTTTTTTCCATATGGTTCAGAACGTATTAACCTGATTTACATTGAACCCTATGAGAAAATGTGATTTGGTTCACAACCAAAAATCGGTTTACGACCACGTTTGTAGGGGTCAGAACGGATTGACCTGATTTACATTGAACCCTAAGGGAAAATGTGATTCGGTTTACAACCAATTCGGTTCGCGACCAGAATCGTGGAACCAATTAAGTTCGTGAACCGAGGTACTACTGTATTTACTACTCACACAGTAAAAAACCCCTTGCGCTATCTAAGATTGAACCCCTTCTCCTC